TCATTGTGGACAAAGACCCATTTCTACTATTCTTAAGCCTTGGCCATTAATCCTTCATATTCTTTGTTTATGACCACTCGATTTTCTAATTTTGGGTGCTCTGCGAGTTTTTTTTTTCTTTTTCATTTTTTGCTACTTTACAAATTGTTTATCTTTTGCTCTTGTGTTTTGTCTTTATTTTATTTTTGCACTTATCTCTTTTGTTATTTTTTATTTCTCTTTAAAAGTGCATTTAATGCTCTTGCCATTTTATTTATTATTTATTTATTTATTTTGGAAGAGTATTTAATGCTATTAGCTATTGCCATTTTGTTCATTATTTTTTCTCTTTTGAAAAAGCATTGAATGCTCATGTCTTTTGCCATTTTATTCGTTCTTTCTTTTTAATTTTCTTTGCTAAATAATTTAATGCTTCTCTTTTTTGATATATATATTTTTAATCATTCATGCTTTTTTTTTTTAATTAATTTGTTTTTTAATTCGGGACAAGTTGTTGTTGGTGGGTGGCCGATCATTTGGTTTTCGAAACCAAATACCTTCTTTGTTTTTCTCTTGCTTTTGAAAGTTTTTTTTTTCCTGTTTTTCCCTTCATTATGTTTTTTTTTAAGAAATAAGGGCAGTAAGTAACCTATGATACTTTATTGATAAATACAAAAATTTCAAAGGAGGATAAATCAATTGAACCAAACAAAATGGGAGGACAATGAAGCCTAGACCCTTATAAGAAATTGAATTACAGTTTAAAGCCTAAATAGAAGCTTAGAAAATTTATAAGTATTTATCTAACCAAAATGAGCTCTCGAAAGTTGTAAAGACCTATTTGATCCTCTTTGATTGCCGTTCGACATGGAAGAGGTAGATAATCCAATGTGAAAGTTATTTTGGATGAATTATGTTATAAAGCCCACTTAGTGAGTTTGTATGTTGTCATATTTCCTTCTCCATAACAATGCTGGCACCTTATTCCTTCATGAGTTAGTTGATTGCATTTTCTAAAGATGTATATGAGGCTCCAAGGACCTATACTTTGTGATGAGATACACCCTAAAATCAGAGATGAGTTAGTTTCTATAACATCACATGGGATATTATATACCTGAATCAATCTAAACCCATCCAATAACGTCAATGCCTCTCTTCTTGAGTTGACCTCGACCCATAAAAGCATGAAAATGCCACAATCATGTTCCCTTTATCATCCCGAATAATCCCTCCTCCCCCACATACATTGTTTCTTACCGCATCGTCTGTATTAAGCTTGTATATACCCCATGGAGGAATAGTCCATCTAATCCAGCTTCCACCAGTACGTGCCACAATTTTTGAAGGTTAACCCAAACAACAAAAACATATACTATCATGGAAACTTACCTCTCTTTTTAGGTCAAATAATTTGGTTAAGTCATAGAGCTATCTCCTAACTTTAGCTTGGATAGTAATCTTACACATGGTAATATCTTCAAAAACTGAAGTATTCCAAACTCTCAAGATCTGTCATATAATACAAGTACATGCTATTACTCTTGAGAATTGCTTTTAAGAAAGAATGTTACCTGAAGGAAGCCATAAATTTAGCAGCTGGTTAATGCTACGTGCCCCTATCCTCACATCTAGGATTGCCCCAAATTCCTTTCACAGATTAATGGCAATCTCCCTTTATAAGAACAAATGATTGATAGTTTCCTCATTTGTCGCCATGCAACACTGGGATTTTGAAGTTAGACTGATGCCCATCTCTTCAAATTCATTTCCACTGCTACCGTATCCTTTTGCACCTTCATACTAGAATCCCTATTTTCTTTGGAAGCCACTTGTTCCATAAACATTTCGACCACTCATATTTCGAAGCCTTCCTTCTTATGGTGTCATGATAAGCTTCAGTACAAAATCTACCCGTTTTAGAGTCCATGTAGTGAAGATTGTCTGCCATGTTACTGTCTAGGGTAATGACATCCAGTTCATTCCTAACTGACAAAGGTAGTGCATTGTAAATGGATTGATCTATGATTGCCTGAACAATAAATATGTTTAGGTCAACTACAGAGGAAGGAAGCTCTACACTCATCCTTTTATCTGTCCATAATTTAATCTTGCCTTCACCAACCACCCACATTGATCTGTCTAGAAGCTGCTGAATATGAGGGATCAGTGATCTCCACACCAACGATGCTTTGCCTCTAGATGTCGATGATAGTGTCACTGCCTCTCCATTTTTATCTCGCATGAAGCTACTCCAAAGAGAAGAACTAGTTAGATAGGCCTAGGCTAATTTGCCTTTCATAACATCACTTTTTATAGAGTTTTGGTACCTAACCCTCCTTCCTGTAATGGCAGACATATAGCCTTCCAGCTCAACCAGTGATGTCTGCTCTCTTTCCTTTTTTTCTAGAAAAAATTAGCTATATATCCCTGTATTCTCTTAACTGTAGTTGAAGGGACTGGAAGAACACCCATAGTATATATAGGGATAGAATTGAGCTCACTCTGGATCAACGTCACTTTGCCTCTTAAAGATAAGAGTCTACCTTTCCACCTAGCAACTTTCTCTTTAAGTTTGTTCTCCAGATTTATAAAGTACTCTCCTTTTGTTCTGCCTTTAAATAACAAGATGCCTAGATATGTTCAAATATTTGAGAAAAGAGAGAATCCAGTCCATGTGGCCAAAAGTGTTTTTCTATTAGCAGATAGTTTATCACTATAAATAATTAAGCTTTTGTGAAAGTTTACCATATGCCCACTTGCCATGGAATAAACTTTCAGTAGCTTCATTATCCTATCCAGATTGTGTTTGTTCCCATTATAGAAAAGAAGCATGTCATCTGTAAATAATAGATAGGACATCACAATTGAAGCTCGTCTAGTATAATAAGGCTTGATGTTACCTTTTTCTATCCAAGTTTTAAGATTTCTACTGAATGCCTCTTGTGCTAGAATAAAAAGGGCTAGGGATAGGAGGCCAACAAGCCTCAGTCCTTTGGATGATTTGAAGAAACCAGAAGCATTAGAGTTGAGGTGTATTGTATAGCAAAAATTACTAATACCTGTGCTAATCAGATTACACCAGTTTTGAGCAAAGCCAAGCTTCCTGAGCACCTGCAATAGAAAGGGCCCTTCTACTCTATTGTATGCCTTCGACATATCCACCTTCAGAATCACATTGCTTCCATGTGCTTTTTTGTTAATGTCATTGAAGAGTTCTTAGGCCAAAGTCATATTTTCATGAATCAGCCTACCCTTCACAAATTGAAACCATTCTTTAGAAATTAGGTGAGGGAGGATATGGGCTAATCTATTGCTGATAATTTTTGATAGTGTTTTGTAGGAAAAATTACATAAATTGATGGTCTTAGGTTCGAGAATTTTGTAGACTCATTGCATTTTGGCACTAGAATAAAAGAGGTAGCATCATTGGGAAGTGATCCTCCATGAAATATATCTTGAACAGCCCAAACCACATCTTTAGATATAATTTCTCAGCAGGTTCTGTAGAAAGCTCCTATAAAGCCGTCAGGCCTTGGAGCACTTTGTTCTTCTAATTCAAAGGCTGCTTGTTTGATCTCCATCTAGTTTGAAATTCTTATCAATTCTGCATTCTGATTTATAGTGACTAATATAGGTGCTTCCTCCATAAAACTTGTATCAGTATCTACCTTATCACTCTTGAACATGCTCTAGTAGTAGTCCACTGTAGCTGCACCAACTTAATTATCATTAGTACCTAGATTACCATCTGGCATTATGAGTTCAAACTAGCCCATTGCAGCCTTGTTCTGATACATGCATGAATAAAGGTAGAGTTTCGATCACTAGTCTCTAGCCATTTGACCTTAGCTTTTTCTTGTAGAAGCATCTCTTCTTAATTAATCAATAGTGCTAGTTTCATTTTGGCTTCACCATCAGTATTGAAGTTTTCCCAAGTCCATCTCTGTTGAAGTAAGGCTTCTGTCTGTATTACATTATCCTCAGCTTGATTTAGCTTTTGGTTTAAGTCCCCAAAGACCTTCCAATTCCATAATTTCAATGCCCCTCTCAATGCTTTAAGCTTTAGTTTCAAATTAAGGAAGGGTGTGTGACTATATGAATTCTTTTAGTTAGCCTAAACAAAGTGCAACTAGCCACCATGCATTGTCCATAATTTTTTAAAGGTGAAACAATTAGGTTTGGATTGCTTGCCCATCATAGTGAGAAGTAAAAGGCAGTGGTCTGAATATAACCTAGTAGGATATGTGCAGGTTAATCTTGGCAGCTTAGCTAGAGCCTCTGAATTTGCTAGTTCCCGATCCAGTCTCTTCCAAATGCGTCTTCTCCCATCTTGATTGTTACACCATGTGAATTTATTACTAATAGACCCCAAATCTTATAATCTTGCTTCCTGTATAGCTCTATTAAACTCAAACATGGAACCCATATCTGGTTGTGATCCTTCAGCTTTTTCTTGAATATCTGTTATAGCATTGAAATCGCCAGCCACAATCTAAGGCATAATGAAATTAAGGCTTTGTATATTGTTCCATAGATTTCTTCTTTCACCTTTGTCACGGCTAGCATATACTACGGTAAATGCCATCTCCTTACTAGAATAGAGATCTTTTATAAGAATTGTGATGGATTGTATATTTATACTTCTCAGTTCTACCATAATACTGTCCCTCCATAATATCCATACATGTTTGTTCTCTAGATGACCATGCATGTAGATAACCCGAGAACTATAATGACTTGGCAAATGCAGCCAATTTGTCTACTATTTTCGTAGGTTCTAAAATGACTAGAAGATTTACTTGATACTAACGGATAATCCTTCTTAGGTATCTCTTTTTTTTCGAGAATCCTACCCCCTCATATTCCAGATGAGGCTATTCATTGGGTAAGGAGAAAAATTACTCCCCTTTATGATCTTTATCAGACCTAGTAACTCTGTTGCCACTTAGCTTCACCATGTTTTGTAGAATCTTCTTTTTTTGTTTCTTTGAGATTTTCTTGCCCTGTTCATTATTGATCTACATACTATCTTTGAATCTTTCTTCAATCCACATACAATTCCCATTAATGCTCATATTACCTTTTGACGTTGCATAATGGGATAAATCGAGTTCCACATGCTCTACTAATATCCCATTATCCATGCTATGACACTCTAGTGAATTCAAGCATTCAAATGAGTTTGTTGTACTGATTCTCTCTTTCGATACTAATTCTGTTAAAGCGATCTCATTCATTGTATCATTGTGGATGGTATCTTCTAGAGTATCTAGAGGTGGCTCCTTATCTATAATATTTTCCATGGTTGATTCCACATTGCAGCTCGTTGAATAACTATTTCCATTTCTCTTTATATCCATTATCGAATGAGAGTGAGTCTTGTCTACGAATGCCTCATCTACTATAGATTCTTGGTTGCCTTCTATCTGCATATGAACATGGTCTACGTATTCCACCATAATTTCTTTCCCTTTATTTTTATTATTATTCCTCGCAAGGATAATCCTTTGATTCTATAGATCTTCATCTCGCCTTGATGGCGTTGTAATCGGATTCTGCTTCTGCATTATTTGTTAGTTTTTCTTTAGCTGAGTCTCCATGGGACCAACTGCCTTAGCTGTAGGGTGTGACTGTAGATTTCTTTGGGTTGCCTAGGGCTCAAGTTTCTTGCATGTAGCCTTGTCATGCCCCTGAAGCTTACAATACCAAAAGCTATTTGTTTTATCAATTCCTACTGATATCCATATTCTTCCTAGGATTGTGATAGCTAGGTCAACTTGCATAAAAACCCTAGCATACATGAACTGGGATCCATTCTTTGTTCTTTCGTCTGTGCGTAAGAAGGCATCAAAAGGCTTTACTATCTCTTACAGAAATGTTGCTGGGAAAAAGGATAGGGGGAGTCAAGGTAATCTAACCCAAATTGCAGCCTTTGATGTTTCATACCTTGTGCTAAAGTTCTCCTCCCATTTAAATAATTTGAATATAGAGTTTTTAATAATATGAGACTACTAGGACCATGCTTTAATCAAGTCTTCCTTTGAATCGAGTCTAATGAGAATGTGTCTTGGTTCTATTAATCCCACTATCGGGGGTTCTTTCAATCCGCAGTAAAGGTGAATGAAAGATCTGATGGTACTAATGGGAGGCCTGCCTCTATAAAACTTAGCTATCAATGAAAATTCAAATATTTTGGCAGATTGCTGGATTTCTATGGCAGAAAATTCCACCATCATTTCTCTATTGAATGACGCAGGAGACTTGTGTGAGATGCTAATATCAAGAAAGTATTGTTGGGGTGCATTGTTTCTATTTGTGACGACTGCATATGTTATCGAAGGGTTACTGGGTTTGCTAGGGTTTAGGTCAGAAGGCTTCGTTTGGGCTGGAGGGCTATTAAGGTTCAGAGAATGCGAGTTGTAAGAGGTGGAGGGATGTAAGAACGATGACTCCCCTATGGGGGAGAGGCACCGCTAAAACGCTAGGTATTACCGTTACGGCTTTATGCCTAAAGAGCAAAGCTGAGTTTTTTTTTTCCAAATTGTACTTCTACATCTCTAGTTTTAACATAAGGGCATCTTTGTGTCAGCTTTTTATTTTTTTATTTTTTATCATTAGAGCAATCATTGTTTCCTCCTAATTTGGTGACAGTTTCTTCTATGTTTGGGTTTTTTTATATTATTTTGCATTTTTTGCTTCCCTGTTTTTTGTTTGGGCATGCCTCTATCTTTACTTGCCTTTCGTGCATTCATTTGTCATTTCCAATAATTGCATGCTCTAGTTTTAGTTCTTTAATTTCTTTTTGCTATTTTTCATTGTCCGGCATGCATGTTCTTCGGTTGTTCGTGTAATTTTAAGGCTAGCCACTTTTTTTTTTTAATTCTTTTGCTTTTGTTTTTCTTTGTAATTAACTCTAAAATTTTTATTTTCATTTTTTCATCTCTGATTTGATTATCCTTTTATTTACAATAGATGTTTTCTCTTTGGTTTATTCATCTTTATAAAAGGTTTTACTCTTATGTTTTGCTACATTCTCTTTCTTGGTCTTTCGATTGCTTATTGGTGTGTGATTGTTGTTGGATTGATTCTTTGTTATATTGCTTTTTATCCTTTGTTTGTCTTTTTAAATATTCATATCATGCATTTCGAATGGATTGGCCTTTTGGGCATTTTTTTCCCTACCTTTTTCATGTTTTAGATATGCTTGCCATTTTGTTTTTTTGGATATTTTTTCTTTTGATTTTCCTTCTAATTTTCTCTTCTTGCACATATTGTTTTATCAAATCCTTACAATTTAATATCCTTTTCTTGCATCTCTTATGAGTTGAGTTTTCATAATTCATCTATCCTTTATGCTTGTGCATTCTTTTAGATTATTATAGATCGATGTCTTTTGTTCTCTTATAACTATTAGGTTAATGGCTCTTAATTTTTGTTGGATCATTTTTTAAGTTCGTTGTGTCATGCTCGTTGCTTATCTATTTTGTGCTAGCTTTTGCATCCGCACTCATTTATTTATTTTTTGTTGCATGTTTTTATGCTAATCTTTGTTTCTCGATCCCGATGTATAAGTTGTTCGAATCATTCATCTCTTTTTTGGGCCTGCTTTCCTCTTATTGTTTTTCCTTTACTCATGTTTCTTCTTTAATTGTGCTTTTTCATGCTCTGTTGCTTGCCTTTTTTCTTACTCGTACCTTGCCATTCTCATCATGTTTGTCTTCTAATTTGAATTCTTTTCTTCTAGATAGATATGCCTTTTAAGAGCTTTTGATGCCTTTCTTCGCATATGACTATCGATTTGTTCCTACTATTATTATGTGCCTCCCTTTTGTAGTCTGCTTTTAGATTGATTTGTTTGGCTTATTGGAACCGGCTTTTCCCGCTTATATTTGCTATTATAACTCTAGGTGTTTTTTCTTTTATTTCTTCAATGGACGTTATTACGATTAGTTGATACTTCTATTGTTTATTCAACCATCATCTTTTTTTTTTTTTTTTACCATTTTAAGTTCATTTGAAACTTCTTTTTAAAAGAATATTTCTTTGTTTAATGGTCGGGATCAATTGTGTCTTTTAGCTTTCTTTATTTCTTAGATTTGTAGTTGCCTTTCTCTATTATCGATTTCCAAAACTATTTAAAGTTGTATGTTAGTTATGCTACTATTTTAAGGACTTCTACCATATGCATGAGCATAGGTGATCAATATCTATATCTTTTAGCTATTATTCATAACACTACAACAAACGAGTTCATTTTATTGGACCATTTATTTTATTTTAGTTCCAAAAATATGTTATGTTGGTTAGTATTTTGATTATTCATTTTGTTTTTTTCTCCTTGCATACTTTTGTTTTATGAAACGTTCCCAATGCTAAATTATGTCACTCTTTTCTTTCTAATTAGATTTTTTCCCACAAGCATATCTATGCTTCTTTGCAATTTGTCGGATGTTTATATGCATTATGATTTGGATTTTCTCTACAAATTTGTTTTATATTTGGTTGATCCAATTTACAGAGGCTATTGATTTACTTTTTGTTTGTACTTTTTATAGTCAATTTTAAGATCTTTTTCTTCCTTGTATCTCTTATGAGTTGTTTTTTTTTCTTTTTTTCCAGTTTGTTTGCCTCTCATCCCCGCACCTTCTTTTCAATTATTACGTACTTATGCCCTTCTTTGTTCTACAAATGTTAGGTTAGTCATTTTTGTTGTTGCTTTTTTTTTTTTTGTGTTTGAAAAATTAATAATTTTAATAGCCATTCTTAGTTATTCCTCTTACCTTTTCTCTTTGTGTTGTTATGGAGTTTTCACTTCGTGCATTGGCTTATTTGTAGGCCCATTATTTTGGTGTGTGCCTAATTTTTATGTGTTCTACAAAATTATTAACATAATCATTAGCATGTGCTCATATATTGTTTTATAAACAAACCATGTCATTATCCGCATGATATGACTACCTTAGTTATACCAAATGACATGTTAAGCACTACCTATTCTCACCTATTCTTTAGCTTTTAACATCTCTTTTATAACTTTTTCAAAGTGCTCTTAAAATTCTAGGATTGTTTTTCATGATTCGCCATGCTATCATTACAAGTCCATTTGGCAATTTTTGCAAATAATAAAAAATTATCAATATTTGTTTGCTTTGGAAAAACTAACAACTTTTTTGGTAGCTACTTGTGTAGTCTAAGATATAAATATTTGAAGAGAAGAATCAAATTCAAAAAAATTAACTCATGCAAATCAAACAAGCACTAAATCTACAATACATCTATAGGTCAAGACCCAACAATCTACTTCGAAAAAAAAAAAAAAAAGAAAACAAAAGGTTAGAACATCATCAAAACATTAGAGTTCATTCATTACACATTTTTTTTCAAACTTTTTAAATTGTTATCGTAGCCTAAATGAAACTACAAGAATATCAAGGACTAATAGAGAACATCATCAAGGACTAATGAACGACATGATTTTGTGTTGTAGTTTTTTTATTTTTTTTTATTTTTATAATCTAAATCTCTTAAAACCAACTCGTTTCTATTTTTGAAAAATGTATATATGTATGTATACACTTTTAAAGACATTCATTTTATCGTATAATAATATAATAATATGTTCTATAATGAAATTATGTGCGCAAGATCGAAGTAACAAAAGAAATTCGATTGCCTTTCCGTACTTTGATATGACATTGGTTGAAAAAAAATTATAACTCATCCGTCGGGGGTCTATCACTGCATAATGCTCGGTACCCATCTAGTTCTCTTTATATCTTATAACACTTTAACTTCTATTTCTTTTAATTTTATTTTTTGTTTCTTTATCTCCATTTTTATATTGAAAAAATGATTGAAGATTTATTAATGTTGGGGAGGCCGGCCAAAGGGCTTATGGAGGTAAGGGATGGTGGAAGAGAAGATGGTGAGAAGGGTCGTTGTCCCGACCGGGTTTGCGAGAGAGGACGACGAGGGGGCAGTCGAAGGGTCTATGGATGTAAAAGGAGGCATGGTTATTGATTTATGAGAGAAGACATCAAAGGGGTATTGGCTTGGCTAGGTTTGTGAGAGAAGATGGTGAGGCGAGTAGCTTAGTCGATCGGGTTTGTTAGAGAGGATGCGAGGGGAAGCATGCTTGGTCGGATTTGTTAGAAACGACGATTATGGGGTGGCTTTCTCCACTATGATGAGTATGAGAGACAAAGGTTTTGAAATCCAGAAAGTCATCTAATCTTAGCCCACCGAAAGGGAAAATTATATGTGGTTGCTTTGGGGGTTAGGTATGTATATAAGAAAGCTCATATCTTTTTTTTTTCCCGAGATTCTTGGGTTCGTGATTCTTAGGTTAGCTCAATAACCTAATGAATTAGAGTTGTTATTAGATTTTATAAATATATCCAAATCCAAATATATTAGTTTTTTTCAATGATTTGTTTGATTTCTAAATCCTAATATTAGT